GGTAGGCATTAAATTGTTAGAAAAAAAACAACAACAAAAAACAACAAGAAGATAACAGTATTATATCCACACAAAAAAAAAAATCCAATTTTCCCCTGTAAGTAAATGTGCGAGGCCGGCAGCTGGTACATCGTTATCTTGACTTCTACTGGGAACCCGCAGTTACCGCGCAGAAAAAAATCCCTTTTCTGCATAATTACTGTCGATGATGACAGTTAGAAAAGATTTCAGGTGCGCGTGTGGAATTCATTGCTGCCTGCAGTAAACACAGAGCTTCAAAAATTGATGGAGCTACTGTAGTACAGAGTGGAATAAAACATTTTTAAAGAAACACCCGGAACGTCCTCGACCGCAAAAACTTTTATGAGCTCATTATCGCATTTTCCTATGCACAGCAAAAACGTCGGTCTGCGTTCGAGATTTTTAAAAAATAAATGCACTCATGTTGAGCTTTGCAGTTTCACGAACAACAAAAGGCTTCTGGGAGCGGGGTTAGGAACACAAGGTACAGCAGTGGGACTGGGGACCTTTGACCCGCAGCTTGAAGTCCACCGAGGAGGCTGCCTCGCCCTGCTCACCGTCCCGTTCACAGATGACACCCGAGACAGTTCTCACGAGGTGTCCACCACATGGGTGGACACCATGTGGACACCTTGCCACACGGGTGTCTGAGTGCTGCCCTTTACATCAGCACATGAGTGCTCCCGGACATCTCAAAACTGCAATCTGACTTAGTTCTTACCTGTACTGTTCGTTATGCGATTAACTGGTCTGACGTGATCCCAGCCCATCCCACATCTAGCAACAGTGGACGCTAATTGAAAGACTAATGTATTTTTCTCCCATTTAATCAAAATTACTTAATTACACAATTACTTATGAGTGTCTGCAATAAACAATCTAAGTATGCCATTTAAACCTTAGAGTAATAGAGAACAGCAACAGGCTACTAAAATCACACAACCAAAATGAGTTTGTACTCATTTATACATGTACATGGGGCTGTATTTTTATAGCTCACACCTGAAGAAGGCTCCACGGCCGAAACATTATGTTTTCTTTCTTCATTTTTTCAGCAGGGAATAAACCTGTTACTTGTTCCTATATTTTTATGTACAGGCACATCTTTTTCCATTCAAATGGACTGTGAAACTAATTAAAGCACACACATTCACCAACCTTAAAAATTCATTCAGGAGTTAGCCCTGCAGTTAATAAAGAAATTCACCCTGTTCATATCAGGCGGCAACAACTGTAACTACACTTCGGTTTTAAAAGGGAGCTGTAAATCTTTTAATATTCCGCCCTGGTGGAAATGTAAGTTGTTTGAAATTTCTGGGTTTAATTAAGCCGTCAAAGCCGTGAATTGGGGTTCCTGGGAGTGTGGAGGGGCTGTGATGTTGGAACAAAGGTTTGCTCGCGTGCTGGTGGGCGAAGGCCCCGACGGGGTCTCGAGAGGGAGCTGCAGCAGGCCTGACTGAGGCTCGCTCCCTGGAGCCGTGCAAGGCCTTTCTCTCATTATCACAGTGTGCCTTTCATCCACCTGCAAATTTGGAAGAGACAGAGAGACCACCAGCTGTGAGGTTTTACAGGCTTTTTAATATTTCAATGCCCGCCTGCTCCTTCACTCCTGAAAGCCCGCGGCACCTGTACAAACCCAGACGCCCCGCTGGCACTCTCTCTCTTTGCACTAAACTTAAGACCAAAGCCAGAGCTCGGCTTTTTCTGATTTATTTATTTGAGGTCCTTAAATTGCGTGCAGGCTCTCTGCAGGCACGCGTGCTGGAATCTGCAAGGTAGAGCCACCCTCAGAGGTAAACAGAGAACCAAACTCGCTTTTATACCTTTAATGAATATTTACGAATATTCATCTAGATACCAGGAAGAAAATCTTAACATTGGGTTTGCATTTCCTTCTACACAGCTGAAGAAAGACTTCTTTTCAACATTAAATAGTCTTTAAGAATGGATCAGCCTCCAATGGTAGTCTTATTTGCATCACCGAAGAAGGCCTGGGAGTGATTACCTGGCCTTCATTGTCTAGGTGCTTTACAAACACTTCAGCCAGGATGAAGGTGTTCGCTGGGGTCCCTGACTGCAACCACAACCAATCCTCTCAACAGCTCGCGAACGGGACGGCTAGTGTGGGATGCAGTTAAGAGAGGATAGAAGCAATCAATTTGCCATCCAGGCCGAAGGTGCTTGAAGAGTGCTGTTCTGTCAATTGGGGCTTGAGGAAGACAAAGCTGAACTGCTGTGGCCACCCTGGCTGCAGGCGGCCTGCTCTCTCTCTCTGCTTCTGCAGGATGGAGCCAATCCAGGTTATTCATAAAATAGATCTGAACCTGTGACCTCGTGATAGAGAGTTTCTGCTGCTGTCTGCCAACAAGCAGTAAGCCTCAAAAGACCTGCCAACTGATTCCACATTGTCCTGTAATAGCTGCACAGGCCTTCTGCACGGCTTTTGTCTATCATCCTGTTATTACAATATATTACAAGAGAGGCCTGATTTTTTTTTGGGTTCTTTTTATGACCCCTATGATCTTGATTGTAGACCCACAGACTTTCTTCCCGTTAAGCAAGTGCACTCAACGTGCTGGAATCATGACTTAATAGCTTCCGTGTACTTCTAAGAAAGGTCCATTGATGTGGATTAACAAAATATCCCAGTGATCTTTGAAAAGAAACATTGCCTGCCTGCAGCTTCCTTAACGGGGCCCGTATTTATTGTGCCGGCCTGCCTGTGGCTCTTCTTGACCCAGAACGTATGGCAGTGTGTCTGAAACATCCATGCTGGTGTGAGAGCCTACGCAACAATACATCAAAGTTTAATACAAAATAAAAGCAACGTTGACAGCTTGCATGAAATTGGCCCTTTTACACGCACAAGCTTTCACGAACTCTAGCCAGGGTCTAGCCATTAAACAGGTGAGTAATCTTCGCTTTAGATAACTCACCTGTTTAATGGGGGCTGCACATAGAAAGCCACCCAGACAGCTAAAATTAGACCTTTCAGGCTTTTCTGTTTCTCTGTTCTGACCCTTTCTGCTCATTGCGTGTTGAGGGATTTATGCTGTTTCAGTGCAAAGTGACAGAAGAGAGGAAGCAGAGGTGCCCTAGGTACAGTATCAGTCAGGGGCAGGCTGGACGCTACTATTCCCACTGGCATTTCAGTCCAGCCTCAGATGTAGCTGATCGATAGGGGATCAATGAGGCACAAGCCCATACAGCACACCTTGGAGACTGTCTGCTCAGTTACCAAGCACAGGTAATTTAAACAGACCTTCACACACAGAGCCCATTGCTTAAAGGCCAGAAGAATCAGGAAGAAGCACAAAGGCACGAGTGCTTCATTCTTTTCTGGCACTACTGAGTTATTCTGCACAGATCCCTTCAGCACCCTCTCCTGTCGCAGGGTACACTGAGCCCGACTGCTACAGCCTGTTGCATTAGTGGCTCAGTGTCTTCAGTAGCAAGAGGACTAAAACCATAAAAATCATGAAGCCGCTCACACAAATGACTGAAATAGCTTGAAATTTCTAGCAAACTAGGAATGAACTCAGAGCATTGATCTAAAGATGAAAGACTTCACACCCACTGCCTACACGCCGAGCCTCTCTTAACACCTTCCCTCGACAGCAGACATCAGATGCATGTTTAGCACAGACAGATGTAAGCTTCAGTGACGCTCAGTATTCTTTCAATGGAGTTAACATTGCAAGTGGCATGCACTGGCACAGAGGAACGGAAGCTCAACCTGCAACAAGCAACATATTCCTGCTTTGCACTAAACTGCACTTCTCCCGCCTCTGTCTAACATCCTGTAGTGTTCTGTGCCTAATGGTGCCACCCTAGGGCATGTAAAATGACACCTTAATGTAGGCTGGTCATTTCCCATTGAGTCATGTAAAAATAGAAATGGTATTGTGTGGGTATAATGCATGCGTGCAAGCATGGATAAATATTTCTTGAAGCGATGCCTAAAATGCATGTGTACCCACACATACCACTCACTGCCCATTAGTACAAGGGTGTCATTACTGGCAATAATCTAGGAATTTACCGTATCTCCCTTGCTCATTTTTACACTAAACTGTTACTGTGCTTTGCTCTCACAGCCTGGATCTTGCTTCAGCAAACTGTTTCCTTCCAAACCATCTGATTTCCTAAAATGCACTCCTGCATGTCAGTGCAACAGCTTTTGCAAATCAAGAAAGTGCCCCCAGCCTGGTGCATGACTCTCACTGAATGCAATTTTATGATTTACATTCGCACCTTTGTGTGTGAGTGCATGTGTGTATTACATGAGTCAACCTTAACCGCGATCGTGGTCCATCTGATCTGCAGTGACACCATACTGTGCTTCTCTATGTGACAAAGCCGTACAATTTCATTCACCATGGTTTAAAAGTCAGCTTCTACTCATAATGGAAAACATTCAGTCTTCTGCTCATATGCAAATAAAAACATGTCCACCCAGAAAGACTTCTTTGGCACCAGAGTGGCAATTGAATACTAGGGTGTGATTTTATAAAATGTCAATATACACACACATAAATGTATATAACATGCTCATTATATATAAATACACATAAATAATACCTACATGTTCTCTGACAAGCTTGGAGGTACTCAGAGCAATTTTGTTCTATTAATGTCAGTATATTGCCAACAGAGGAGCAGCCCCATGCAGAGATTAAACCTCTCAGTCTGAACAGAAGCATTTTATCTGTGAGATAAGCAAGTTATAATAACAAAGCAATCGATGCCCATTCAAGTTGATCAAATAAAACAAACAAGCCACAACAACAGAAACTAGAGAACCACTGCACTGCAGTACAGCCCTTGACCAGGTGCTAATACTCTCAGGGTTCGAAACACTGAGGACTAACCGGTTATGTAGTGGATTAACTACAGATGCCTGGCTGAGCCTGTGCTGTCAGGAGGAGAGAAAGAATTCTAGAGAGCCTGAATGCAACATCCAGAGCTCCCTGACTTACCGGCACTGGCAGAGCACAGCAGAGACACCAACAGCACAATCACCAGTGTCAGGATCTTCACATTCATTTCTGCACTTCCCTCTGGCACTCCGTTAGTCAGTAGCTGATATAGTGCAGCGTGCGCGCGTGTGCGTGTGTGCGTGTGTGTGTGTGTGAGAGAGAGAGAGGGAGAGGGAGTGTTCTCTCCTGAGGGGAGACTGTGTGTGCGAATATGTATGAGTGTGTGTGTGTGTGAACACTCGTCCAGACCTCTATCTATATATGTATTTGTAATGTATTTATATATCTGTGTGCAAGCCTGACAGCGCCACGCCGAGACTGAAGGCACGTCTCAGTCTGAGCTCTCCTGAGGAGGTGTGTTTCTGTTAGAGAAAGGCTGCTGGTGCCAAGTTCAGCAGAGCTGTGAATGTGTGGAGCAGCAGCCTGCAGCAGGTTTTTGTATGTGAGCTGTTTGCCTTGAATAAGAAGCCCAGTCGGTCATGTGGCTTATGTATCATTGACTCTCTGGGTCACGGAAAAGGGGCCTCCCTGTTACCCCCCCACCTAATCGACCCTCCCACAGAGGACACAGAGACAGGGGGAGAGGGAGAGAAGGGGGGAGAGATCGTGAGTGAGTGAGTGGTGTTCGGGGTTATTATAACAACAAAACAGGGTCTTGTTAAAAAGACATTTCCAGTTCTTTTTGGGAACTAGGAATCCAAAAATTAAGGTGAAGCGGGAGCGAGGGAGCAGAGAGGGAGAGAAAAAGTTATTTTCCTTTTGTCTCTTTCCCATCTGCACAGAACTAGAAGTCTCTATCCCAGTTCTCCCTCCTGCCCCCCAGCCTTGTTTCCTTTGACAAATTGTATGAAATAAATACTTGAAAGTTATTAACCCTCCTGCCACAGAGCCGACTGTAGGGAAACAGCTGACAAACTTCAGAACTCTGCACAAATTCCCCTGGATTGAAAACTTAAATAGTAAAGGCATGATATTCAAAGTTTTTTTTCTGGACTAAAATTAGATTTGTATCTTCAAAATTTTACAATCTTTCAGAAATGTAGCTTTGCAGAGCAGAATAATCTACTCCTGTGCACAAGTTTAACCCGTTTCTTTTTCTCCTCCAGAATTTGGTTTTGAAATATTTTCCTTGACTGAATTTTTTTAATCGAATTGGAAAATACAAGACTATTTATTCAGAAAAATAGATCTTTTCAGCATCCGTTGGAGAAAAAGGGAAAACTGTTTTGAACAACAACATCAAGAGCAGCAAGTCCACATCACCTTTACTCTGCGACCGATGTTGAAGGTTTACACGAGCCAGCCTAACAGTGCAATAATTTGTATATAAATCACACAGATTACAATAGTCACAGGTCATTGAACTATAAATGTGCCTCAAATGAATAAAAACACTAGAAGCAACAGCCCGGTGAAGGTACTGTCTGCACAGTTGTAATGATGTAAATTGAGTTTGGGTACATTTTGCTGTGCTGTGTCTCAGGACACTCTGAAACATATATAGACTTTGAGCCTAAGAAATATATCAGTGCCAGACAGCATGAAAAAGTACCCCATTGCTTAATGAAAAGAAAAGAAACAGCATTTCAACTGCTGTGCTATGCTGGTACTAATAATAAAGTTCAACTTCTTGTGTCAGTGAACTTCAACAAGTACACGTGCAAAGCATTACAGAGCGACTGTAAATGCTGTAAAATCCCTTGTCTCCTTTTACTGTGAGTTAATCAATAGGCCTGCGTGAATATTTGAACTCCTCAAGCGAATAAAAGGGTTAACAGTTCAGATGAGAAGCAACGTGTTCTGACTGCGTTCAACAGGAATGCAGAGAAAACAATGCTGGTGTACTTCATGCGTGTTGGTTTGAGTTCACTCCGGTTTAGGAGAGGAAGCAGCAGTGTGTCGGATCTCACATGCGTGTGCAAGGTGTGGACAAACCACGGGAGGAGACGATCTAGTCGGGAGAATTGCCTGTGCTCGCTACGACTGCAGGCTCGGCCACTGCGAATTGGTCTGCGTTTTGCGCTGTGAGACAAGAAAGAAGGTGCTTCTTCGTGATCGGGAAGGCAAGACGCAAGGACCCCTGCACCCTCTGCAGTCTGAGGGATCTCCCCGGTGGCCCGGCTTCTGAATGCAAGAAGTAAAACCGGATGACTGCACTGTGCCTGGCCACAACCCCAGATAGTCCAGCTCCTGCTCGCCGGGCTCACATGCTAGCTAAAGGGTGGCTGGGTTGTGCTGCCCTTGTTTCCACCTGTCAGAGAGGGCATTGTGACGTGTCTGGAGGCTAACATATACATGGACCTGGCACCCACTTGAAAATGAAGAACAGGAGTACCTTACAACCTTTTTCGCCCACTTCAGTGCCTAATCAATTAGCCTCAGGGGTCACTGAGATGCTGTCTACTGATTCTTATCTACATGGCTCTTTTATTTTGCCAGGAGATGTGCCAAGCAGCGTTAAAGAGATGCGCTGAATGTCACTCTCTGCGGTGTTTTCTAGGGAAGATGATTCATTGCTCTGCGCTGGGAGAAGCCAACCCTTTTTGAAGATTCTGTCAAGCAATCCTTTACCTTGTCTTTGCTTTTTAGTCAGTTTGTTTTTCAAAATGCACCCAAGCCTTTCAGTCTCCGTGTGGGTCTCCTTGACTGCATTGCGCTTCATCGTGTCGCTTGAACAGGTTTCCTCCTTAGTGCCGAGACTCGTCTGAAATGAATGACTGTTAAGCCACCTATCTGCATTATCCAGTTAGCTTATCGACATTTGTTGTTGAATTTTATAATGATTGAGTCAGGAACCATCACGATACCCAGGCAATAATTGTGAGAGTGTTGAGTAATAAAGTTAAAACACTTACGTATTGCAAGGGGAGGTAATCAAATTAAGCACATTTCAGTGTCACTAACAATGACAGTGTGTGCGATGCAATGGTGCTGAAGCAACAAGTCATTTCTGACCCCTGAGGACCTGACTTCCCCTTCAGTGGCTTTAGAAGTCGTGCTGTAAAGATGGCCGCCCCCCCTACAAAGTGACACAGCTGCACAGACCATGAGGTTTCTGTTTAAACTCACATGGCCTCCGTAGGAGAAGGGCTGTACACCAGTAGGGTGTGGACAGACAAGTGCTAAATGTGAGAAGGGTGAAAGGGATGGAGACGTGTTAGTGATAACAGCGACCTAGCTAAGTGTGTTTCCAGGATTGTCTCCCCTGGCAAAGTGTGTGCATGGCGGGAGTCTGTGATACCGCTGGAGACTGCTCCACCACAAGCCCTTGGCGGTGTCCCTCTGTAAGGAGACCACGCGTGCATGCACATGGGCCCAGGGCAAGGGCTGCAGTGGGGCGTCTCACGGTTCCAGACTGTGAGCTCCGGCTCGCCCATCTTGTAGGGGCTCCCACCTTCAGAGCCTCACGCCCGTGCCCTGTGAAGGAGGCCCTGGGAGACGGGGATTGACGAGACAGCAGGGTCTGCGTGGCTTTGCAGGGAGTGCCCAGAGACCCAGCCAACATCGTGCCATTGGCAGGGCACCAGTACCATGTGAAGCATGAGGATGTGCCCTACCCTTGACAGGTAGTTGGCGGAGAGTTTGCCGATGTGTTTCTTTATTGCACAAAGAGAGGTGAGACCAAGCTGCTAGACTGTGTTGTTAAACTTATTATAGTAATAGTAATAATAATAATAATAATTGCTTACACTTATATAGCGCTTTTCTTGACACTCTACTCAAAGTGCTTTACAGGTAATGGGGATCCCCTCCACCACCACCAATGTGCAGCATCCATCTGGATGATGCGACGGCAGCCATAGTGCGCCAGAACGCTCACCACACATCAGCTATCAGTGGGGAGGAGAGCAGAGTGATGGAGCCAATTCATAGAGGGGGATTATTAGGAGGCCATGATTGGTAAGGGCCAATGGGAAATTTGGCCAGGACGCCGGGGTTACACCCCTACTCTTTTTGAGAAACACCCTTGGATTTTTAATGACCACAGAGAGTCAGGACCTCGGTTTTACGTCTCATCTAAAGGACGGCGCCTGTTTACAGTATTGTGTCTCCGTCACTATACTGGGGCATTAGGACCCACATGCACCGCAGGGCGAGCGCCCCCTAGTGGCCCCACTGACACCTCTTCCAGCAGCAACCTTAGTTTTTCCCAGAAGGTCTCCCATCCAGGTACTGACCAGGCTCACACCTGCTGGGCTTCAGTGGGTTGCCAGTTGTGAGCTGTAATTTAACTTAATGCCCTGGCAGTCCAGTGGGTCGAATAGCCATGTGACCTCTGGTTCTGATTTCTGTGCTTTTGCTTTTTCTTCTCTCTTCCGCGGCCTCGACTGGGTTTCTTTGGTTTGCTTATTTTTCTGGTACAGCTGGATAAGTGCGTTCCTTTCGGAAGCGCAGGGCGACCCGTTCTGAGGGATGGAAGAGCTGCCCGGCCGCCCCACGCCGGACATGATCAGCGGGCACACGCTGCATTTCCTCGACAGCTGCCCCCCTGCAGGAAGCTCTTGAAGTTTACAGGAAAAGGGCCGATAAAAGAATTCCAGCAAGATATCCGTTTTGTGAGCTTGACGACGCAAACCATCCTCTCGCCGGTGGCCACTTAAAGAGTTTTTATTGTCTCTGTGAAGTGAACTCTTCCTGAATTGGGGCTTTATTAATAGTTTGAAACTTGTCCTTTGCTGGACAGCTGAAGTCAAAATTTAGATCTGGAAAACAAAGTGTTGTTTTCCCCCAAGAAATTCACGTGTGATAATGGGAAGACATTAGCGGGCTTTTGCTTCATACTTTGCTAAACTTCCTCTGTTTTTCTTCTTATATTTGGAGTGATACAGTAAGTATGTTTGTTTCCTGCAACACATCTGTTTGCAATTTTACCCTGTGAGTCAAGCACCTTAAAACAAAAGGAAGCAATCGGCCATTAATTTTTAATATGCAATTAATACTGTTTGTGTTTTAAACAACCTTTCCCTTAATGATTAAATAAAGCCTGATGTGCATCTGCTTCAGAACACCTTGAAAGATGCCTACGTCAAACAGGTAATATCTGGACTTAAACCTCTTGTATTGTCTGTCGTGCATTTCTCTGGGTGTGCTTGAAGGCACTGGAATTTAAAGAGAGGGCCTTTTGCAGCAGGGCTGAAATTAGTGCAGCCCTCTGGGTATTTTCTTCTCTTGCTTCATTTGACAAATTTCAGGAATCAGAGACCAGCAAGCTTAGCTTTTCATTCCTACCAGCAAATATATACATTGTCGTCAATGCAGTGCTTGTAATGAAAAATGTATGAGCGTTAGTTGGGTATATAGAAATAAGTATTGTTGCTGTCATTTTTGCAATACGTATAAGTGGTCACACTTTCTCCTCATAAGGTGAGCATGATTATGAAGGGTGAACTCTTTTCTTATCCACTTCATATCCTACCCTGGACCCAGGAGCTGTGAAGGAG